CAGCCCAGGGAGGGATTAGTCCCTAAAATGGAGGGGACAGGGCTTGGGGTGGGGAGCAGAGATGGAGGACCAAGGCAATGAGTCACTGGATGGGGGCGGGGGGCGGAGAGAGAGAGATGTGCGGACCAAGCGTGAGAGAGGAGGGAGGCTGGAATGGGTGAGGGCATGGACGGAAGTGTCCTCGCTGGGGTGGGGACACGGCGGGGGAAGCAAGTTGGGGGCGGAGGGCGGAGAGCTTGCTTTTGGACCTGCTAAGTTAGAGAAGCCGCGGGCCAGGCCAGTCGAGGAGCTGGGCACTGCGGCAGTGAGTAGGGCTGAAATACAGACAGCTGCTTTATGGGTGGACTTCTAGAAGGAACACGTGATTCTTGGATGCTCCTAATGACATCAGTAGAGGCGGCCAAGAGGCAGAAGAGCCTGCTGTGCCCGGGACGGGAGAAGAATAGGGGACATTTTTCTGGGCAGAATGCTGGGCCCTCACCCCTCTCTCACCTGGAGAAAAGAGCCAGAGAAGCCAGGTGTGCCAAGTCCAAACTGTGCTCAGGAACCCTGTTATTCCAGGAAAAGTCAGAATTCAAGATGGACTCCTTACCGCTTTGCTACTTAAAGTGTGGTCCCTGGATCAGCAGCATCGGCAGAATCTCAGGTCCTACTGGCTCAGCCGTACTGGATCAGAATCCATAGTTTAACACACTCCCAGGAGACCCACAGGCATACTAGTTTGGAAAGCCCCAGTCTCCTGGGTCCTAGCTGAAATTCAGTGTCCAGGACCCACAAAGATAGGAGGGTTCTGGCTTTGTAGAGGCCCTGCCTGTCCACAGGCTCCTCTGCGTGCTCCAGAGCATGACTTCTCTGCTGGGTGAGGCCAGGCAGAACCTCAATGGGCCAGAAGGTCATCTGAGCAGGCAGTTTTCTCTCCTAAGGAGGCCTCTGACTCTGTTCTCCCAGTACCTCTGCGGGCAGCTTTCTGCCCTGCACTGCCCTCTCGTGGCCATGAGGAGCCATTGCCATCTCATATGGCCCCATCTCTGCAGCTAATATCCCAAGACCCAGTGATGGTGGAGGAAGGACTTGCCTGTCACTGACATTTGACATGAGGTGCTGGGACTACCAAGAGCACAATGCGAGCAGTTTGGAAAACAGTGGCTTTAGCAGCTGAATAGTGAATGAAAGCTGACCTTTTCCCTGGGCGAGGGGTCCTGACTCAACCCTTCTCCCCATCACTGCCCTTTCGTGCACACCTCGTTGGAAGCTGTTTAGAGCAAGAACATGGGCTGTGTAGCAAGGACATACGGGTAGGAGATCGCTGGACTGACTGGGGGCGAGAAGCAGCCTCCAGGTTGTGCAGGGCGTCTTGCTGTGTCGGGACATCCTTTTGTAGGCTCAGGTCTCAGCGGAGTAGAGGCATGACTGCGTTTGTTTTGGAAGGCTGCTTGGTGGAGGATGGACTGGGATTGGGACACTGGGAGCTGAAAGCTCAGCGAGGGGCCCATGCCACAGCTCAGAGAGCCTCAGGGGTTTCATGCGGGCCAGGCTTGTGTGGAACAAGGCTGATGCTCCCCCTACATCCCAGAGATACCGTGTCATCCATGCAGGAGCCAACTGAAGTGTGAGTTGACTGGCTATGTGGGCAAGGAAGGTCTCGAGAGACATATGAGCTCGTAAGCGTTCTTCTGAGGGAGTGATTCTGGGCCTTCCCAAAGGTCCAAGGTCCAGGTGTTGGCCATAGGGATGGAGCAGACTGACTCCCTGCCCTGTGGCCTGGCTCAGCTGACCTCTCCCTGACACTCCATCATCCACAAAGTCCGTAGTACCTGGACTTATGGGGACTCTGGGGCAGGTGTCTCAGAACTTCTGTTTCCTCTCTGCTGAGGACCAAATGGTAGGACTTTTCCTTCCTCCCCTCCCTCCCTCCCTCCTTCCCTCCCTCTTACCCTTCCTCCCTCCTTTCTTTTTTTTTCTTTCTTTCCTTCTTTCTTTCTCTTTCCTTTTCCCTCTGTTGTGTATACTTGTGATTTTTATCTATTTATCTGTCATCCATCCATCCATCCATCCATCCATCCCTATACTTGTGATTTTTATCTATTTATCCGTCATCCATCCATCCATCTTTCCTCTTCCCTCTATCATCTGTACCTGTTAGGATTATATCACATGCAGTGGCATGAACCCACCACTCAACTCAAGTACTCTGACATGATGAAGACTTATGTGTGCTTCTCCCCTGTTCCTTGGCCCCTTGCCTTCTGCCACCTCATATAATCACTAATATTAATTTTACAGTTACTGTTCCTTTGCTTTTAAAAATAATTTTAATCACATATTTATGTATGTCTAGACAGCACATCATTTAGTTTTAGTCACCTTAAACTTTATAGCAGAGTAATTTGCTCTATGTTATCTTCTAGGATTTGCTTTTCATTGGTTAATATTATATTTTTAAGATAGTTAAATCCATGAATTATCTGTGACTAATTAGTTAACTCATCTATCTTTCCTATAACATTTGTCGAATGTTATTGGGGCTTCTGTTCGCTTGGGGCTCCTGTCCCTCCTGGGAATCAAGAGGAGGGGACCTCCATGAAATTAGAGGAACTTTTCTACAATTGATTTGGTCCAGTCTCCTCGACCATTTTCCTCCAGGGGAAGCTAAGGCAGCAATCTTTTGCAGTTCAGAGATCACCACCATCTGCTGGTTACAGTGGCTGAAGTTCTGTGTGGGACCTTGATGTGCCTTTCTTGAGCCCATCCCTCTCTCTGCAGTGACTAGTGGCAGAAGGAGAAGCTGTGGGCTATGGTAAAAAGCAGGTGCTCAAGTGCGATGCCAGCCTGGGCGACGTGCTGGCTCTGGTGACGCTTCCCCTGCAGACTGCATGCTCGCCCTGCTGGCCATGGAGTGTGCCTGCTGTAGCCTGGATGCACCATGTCGCGCCATGCAATCCCCCCTCACTGCTCAAGCCAGGAAGCCACCTGGTGACCACTGTCATGCTTCGGCTCTTGTCTTACATGCTGGGGAAGCGTGAGTTCTCATACATGGAAAAGAGGAGGTGGAGCAGGCTGCCTTGAACGCTGTCTTTGACATCATGTAGCTTCCATGCAGTCCCCAGACCGACGCTATCGCCAGTGCTGCCAACACAGGGGTCTGCTTCATTGTGGCCCGAAAGAACCCTGGGGCCATGAGCCGGGAGTGCCAGCCACAAGTCTGGCCAGACTCGGAGGCTTCGGCCCATCTATATGCTAGAGAGGTATTAGGAATGGGTAGTGTCTCACAGCCCCTGCTTTCAACACTAACATTCCATCTTCTGAAATTCTGAGTTTTCTACATTCTTGTTTTAGAATCCTAAGTTTCCAACATATTTAGTTCTTAGATCATAGGAGTAGAATATTCCACTTCCTAGTACACTGACAGCTATCTTCAGATGCTGTTTGACTCGCATGTGACTGTCAAGCACCCAGGGATGTGGTTTCAGTCTTTACCCAGCATGTGTAAGACAAAGAGGCCTTCAGACAGTGGTGTATTGGTAAATATTTCACAACCAGCTCTAAAAAGAAAAAAGCCCTCCTCCCCAAAGCAGCTGGATACACGTTTTACGGCGAATGCCAATTTCCATGGTGTAAATACTCCCAACATGGCTGATGTCAAGCTCCCAGTGGTTTAACAACTGGCTCACAAAATTCCTAAAAATGTAACAATTGGCTCTCATGAGCTGGCAGATTTAGCAAATAAAAATACAAGATGCTCAGTGAATTGGATTTCAGATAAACAAAATTAATTTTTTTTTTTTTAGCATAAGCGTGTCCCCAAAGTTGCATGGGACATACTTATCCTAAACAAATATTGTTTATCTGAAATTCGAATTTAACTGGGTGTCATTATTGCACATCCATCAGTGAGTATTCGTAGCTGTAACACAAGGCTCTCTGGACCAAGGACAGAGGATCGTGTGGTCTCCTGCAGTTCTGCTTTCGTCTCTCTATGCTCATGTGCTGTCACTAAGTGTCTCCAAGAAGTTTTTCAAAGAACAGTGTACGCTAGAAGGGAAAGATGCCTGAAGATTACAGCGTGACCTGTGACGTTACAGCGATTTCCCAGGGAGCCCGAGTTGTGTGGTATGGTTGCTTCTCAAGCACAATTGCATGATGATTGAAATGAATGCATAACTTTCTGGTTACATATTTGTTTTAACGTGTATTAGAGATTTAACAAGCACATCTAACACATGCTTTTGTGACTATTACTGCCTAGAAGCACTTGCCTTTTAAAATCAGCTTAAAATATGTAGGTTTTAAAAAAATAATTCATAAGTAATAGTATAGGTGTTATGGGTCGAATTGTGTTTTCCCCCAAATTCATATGTTGAGGTCAGACCCCTGCCCCAGTATCTCTCAGAGTGTGACTGTATTTGAAGATAGAGCCTTTAAAGAAGAAAATAATGTAAAATGAGATTAGGGACATAATCCAATATAACTGACGAAGACACTGGGACACAGATGAGCAAAGAGGGAAGACCATGTAGAGACAGAGAGAGATGACCGCCATCTGCAAGCCAAGGAGAGAGGCTTCAGAGGATTCCACACTTGCTGACACTGTGATCTTGGACTTCTAACCTCCAGAATTGTGAGAATTACATTTCTGTTGTTTAAGCTGCTCATTCCGTGGTGTTTGGTGAGGCAGCCCGTCCTTGGTGAGGCACCTTAATATACAAGGTGATGTGCAGTTAGGGCCAACGTACCCAAGTTAGGAAAGTGGTACCCAAGTGACCGAGTTTGGGGAAGTTGGTACTGGGCACAGGCACGGGTGTGGATGAACCCCCAGCTTTGCCAGTTCTTAGCCCTGTGGTCTTCAGCAAAATCTAAACCTTTTTCAATCTCAGTGTCTTGTTTTGAAGAAGGGGACCAATAGTCATCTTATTGTCTGGAGGTTGTGGGATTAAAGATGCGGTAAGGTGTGTAAAATAACTGGTGCTTAATAACTAACCGTCTAGTTATGAGAAAGCAGGCACCAAGCAGGGGAGGAATTTCAGCGCTGAGTAGGCAGAGTCCTGGGCTTCCGTGCCCCTGGCAGGCCAGCCCCGCCAAGGTCAGCCGGCCTCCGCGAGCCCAGGAGCCGGCCGTGGGGCTGCCCGTGGACCTCTGGGGACCACTTCGCTCTGGGTTTACTCCTCCAGGAACAAGGCGCCGGCGTTCTCCGCGTTTCTGATCTTGGGAGATGGAGACTCAGATTGGAGCAGTGACTTATTCTAGGCCCCCCAGGTGGACGGGGCACGAGCCAGGACTCCGCCGGGCGTGCACGGCCTGACCCGGGGCTGCCCTGGGCTCACGCCCGGTGGGTTCCGCCTCCCGCTCTCCCCAGTTTAAAGGACGCTCCTCCCTTTCGCTCCCGCCGGCTCCCCGGGAAGGGGAGGAGTTTCCCCGGGCGCTGACACCGTCGTCACGGCAACGCGGCCATACTGGCCAACGGACCCAGGAGCCCAGGGCTGCGCGGCCGCGGCCTCGCGGGCAGAGGCCGCAGCATGGACGGCCTCTTCGTGGAGGAGGTGGCCGCCTCCCTGGTCAGGGAGTTTCTCAGCAGAAAGGTACGTGGCGCCGCCCTCCACAGCCCTGGGCAGCTGCTCAGATTTGGGAGCGAGTCTCGGGGGTTCCCTTGCAACTTCTGCACCTTCGGGGAGGGAGACCTTCCCCTGCCGCTGCCGGCCCTGGAGGTGCCGGACCAAAGCGCCACTTTCCCGGGCCGGGGGAACTACATTTCCCAGGAGCCCTTTCTGCCACCGCGCACTTCCCGCCGGC